AGGAATATTCCGTTAAATCTAACTGATGCCGTTAACGCCGTTAGGAATATTCCGTCCAAACTGACGGAATATTCCGTCATCTCCTCCGGCCAAACTTCGGCGCCGTCGCCGGTGCCGAAAAACCGAGAAAACTTTAAAACCTTGTATCTTCTTTGTTTTTCAACCAAATTCCACAAAATTGGTACCAAAATGAAGCTTACAACAAGAGGAACAAATCCATACCACTTTCAAGCACTAAAACCCACAGAATCTCGCCGAGAAAACACCACTAACTCCGGCCAAGCTTGTAACTCACGATCCTGACGTCCAAAACCTTCAAATGAACCACCCCGAGCCTCCTAAGGACCTCACCAAGCTTCCTACAAGCTTGAAATTCCCAAAAACACGAGAATTAACGTGTGCATGAACAGTGACCAAATCGGGGTATCCCGAGTTCGACGTGAAAACGAAGGTATCCTTACCTGAAATGGGTATGGTTGAACTCCTAAGGACCTCACAAGCACGAATATGTAATTTGTTTCCTCGATCTGTGAAGGTTTCAAGGGTTTTGGTTGTCGTCCGTACAAGAAGGATAGGAATGGGAGAGAGAGAGAAGGCTCGGGACAGGGCAGAGAGAGAGGGTGAGTGTGGGGGTGTGTGTGTGGTCCAAAATTAGCCAAGCAAAACCCAAAAATGACCACGCAACGAAACAACCATGCTAGGGGCAAAATCATCATTTCACCCCTACGGTATGAAAAGTCTAGGACGGGCTGTCACAAACATTATAAAATATTATATCAAAAACATGTTTAAAATTATTCGTATTTTGCTGTGAGTCAAATTATTTTCAAAGTACACTAATTATTTTCACAGAATTTATTCTTCAGCTAAGACCAAAACTACTTGCCAAAATTAAAATGGTCTTCATTGACCTTTTCAAAAGGATTTGAATTGGTGTACCATCCGGAATAAATATCATTTGGTACCATCAGTAGGTGGATACCAATTCAAGGCCATTTGTATCCCCAAACGTTTGATGGCAATAAAAGGAACGCAAATTGAAATAACTAATCGTTAATGGGGAAAAAATACTGGAAAACTACGTTTGCGTCCTATCTCTTTCAATGAACAGAGGAAAATAATGTGTACCAATAAAACTGAGAAAAATAATGCTTGATGACATTTCCCCCTATTATTTTGAAGAATAAATGGCTTTCTTTCAGAGATGGCCAACCGAAACCAAACTAGCATGGTTAGGTCAAACATTGACATAAACTTGTCTGTCTCACCCCTCATCCATATATGCCTCCACTGTCATCCGTTCAAATTATTTTTGGGACAAATAAAGGCAGTCTCATTCACTAGATATCTTGTACTTAGAATTATGAATTTTAACCTTATCTCAAAGTTTGTATTAACTTGCGACTATGGGATATATGTTGAGCAATAAGGAATCTGTTACATTCTTGTATTTGTCCTATAGAAAGAGCAATCCCTGGTAACTAGTTGAAGATCCATCTCAAAAATCTTTGCTGAGTACTTTCTAAGGAAGCTATGGTTTGTAAGAACCGTTTCAACATGAAATGCATCATAGTGATCAAAGATATTCACATGTGATTTGACACTACTTCATATCAAATTAATCTTGATCATGATATGGATGATAGAAGAACCGAATTGCATTTAACTACAACCAAGGTTCGAAACAATAGCATGATTAAATCGCGTATACTTTTATCTAATTTGGATAGCCCTGATATACTACAAGATGTCACTCATGGCTAGTAGAATTAAATTAATCTATTAATTTATTGACCACCGGCTTTAGTTTGAACCTAAGAAGTCACACACCTATGATAGTTCTAAAAACATTATATGGATAATGATGAATATAATTACTTGTTAATTATATTGGATTAAAATACTAGAGCTTGTTGAAATTATTTTAATTGGTTAATTATTATTTTAAAGGGAAATTTTGAAATAGGTCCAATTTTATAGACTACCTTTTGAAATAGGTCCAATTTTTAGTGACTTTTGACTTTTGAAATAGGTCCAATTTTTAGTTACTTTGGACCCATTTCAAAAAACCCCTTAATTAAAAGGGGACAAGCCACAAGCTCAAGTGGGTCAGAGAAAGCGAGAAAACACCCTGGCAGTTTGATCATCTCCAACCCTTAAAGTAAAACCTAAAATTTCTCTTAGAGAAAGCGAGAAAACACCCTGGCAGAACTCTCTCAGTGTGCCGCCCACCCTAATTATTTGAGTGATCTTACTAGCTCAATTCAATCAATCATCAAGGGTTAAATACCTTGATCATGTATCATTTGTTGTTAGTTTTGCAGTGTGGATACTCCTAGAGGCTAAACACTTATCAGCTCTACATGAATTAATTGTGAAAAGGAAGAAAACAAGTACAAGGATGATCCTAAAAAGCAGTGCTTGCAAGGCTAAGGAATCTTGTAAGTAAATCTCCTTCGCATTTGTTTGTTGTTACAATCATAACCAACCAAATATGTAATTGAGATTACATAACACTGTTCTAAAAATCCCTGCCTAGGCTCTAGGCAGCTAGCCACCACCTCGATTAATCCTTAGGTGTTTGAAAATTAAGAATGTGCGCCTAGACCTGCTTAGGCATCTGCCTAGCCGCCTGCCTAACTCCACCTAGGTTGCAACTCTCACTAAGACAAAAAATTGATAACTTTCATTTTGCATTTTATTTTTTCAATCAAATGTAAGAGACTTGTTGAATACTAGGATGAACACTTATTATATGTCTATTCCCCATGTTTTCAATATGTTTTAATATTTTATAACTTATATGTCATTTTATTTTGCAATTTATGTATACAATTATGTATTTTTTTAAGTACAAATAGACATTTATTTATACAATATATAATCACTTTACTTATATATGCCTAGTCTGCTTAGGCCTTCGCCTAATCCCCGCCTAACCGCCTAGGTATTAGGCCCCAACCTAGCTATTTATTTTCTGCTATGTATTTCATTATTATAAATAAATTTATTTGAATTATATGTTCGGAACCCCAACCATGAAATTCACCATTCTTCATTAAGTTTTTCACTTTGCCCTAGTTGGGATTACAGTTTTACTCATGCCCTCAAGCATAACAACTAATGTTCTAAAAGTTGCTAGGCCATAGTTGGGTGGTGAGTAGGGGGCTTAGCCCTAGGGGCCTAAGCGGTTTTTGTTTTAGGTACGTTTAAATAGTTTAATCGAGGTCCCTAGCATCATGTAATTAAGAGATTTAACTGCTGCATTTATGCATTCAATATCCCACAAAATTTAAATAATATTTCTACAATATTACAATTACTTAAAAATCAATAATAGAGTAATATTGTTCTTCACATAGTTCAAGCAAAAAAATACGCACATAATTATTAATATATTGTAAGACATAAACAAATACATGTAATTAACATGGGTACGTTCACAAAAAGAATATGGGTACATATTAAAATTCAAAATTATGGTTACAAAGTAAAATTAAAAAGAATATTGGTACAAATTTAAAAAATGGGTACAAATTAAAAATAGATATATGTGAAAAAAAATCCTAAAAAGATATATTTGAAAATGATCAATAAGTTTTCTAATTTCAAAATTGAAATATGATGACTTGTAAATAATTAATATTCAAATAATGACATGAAGAAAATTCAAGAGACCTTGATCAAAAAATGAAAAATGAATAAGGTTTTAATTAATGAGAAAGAAAATTGAGGTTTTATTTAAATTTAATAAGTAACATATGAATAAGTACCTACTTATACTTAAAAAAATACAATTGTATGGGGAAACATAAATTGTAAGTAGAATGATTTATAAATTGTGAAGCACACTAGAACATATTGAAACCATGGGGAACAGACATATAATGAGTATTCATCCAAGTATTCAATAATTGCAATTTATTGAAAACATAAAATGCGAAGTACAAAATGAAAATTATCTATTTTTCAATCCCCACTTAAGCATATAGTGAGAGTCTATTCATAAGCCATTTTATTAAATTAAAAAAATTGACAAAAAGGTCACAAAATTGCCTAGCCCGCCTAGATGCCCTTTTTGATTTTCTAGATGCCTAGGGATTAAACGTGGTGGTCAACTGCGTAACGTCTAAGCATAGCGTTTTAGAACAATGGTAACAACTAACATGGCCATTTTGACACTCTCTAATTAGGTCTGATGATTTATATTTCCACCTATGTCGATTGATATAAATTCACTGTGAAGGCTTAAAAGCTTTCTTTAGTTAAATTGTGTCATCAATGGAAAATTTTTGAAATAATTAACTGAAACCCGTGAATTCAAAATAGTTTTTAGTCATTTGATTTTGGTTGTCGCTACTTAAAAGAAATCTCATGATCAACTCACATGAATACGATGCCGAAAAACATCTTACTGATTAATATTTAGTTGTGACCATCCCCATTTAAAATAACATCAACAAAAAAACAATCCCCATATAAATAGCATAATTATATTGTGTGTGCACTTATTCATAAATATCTTGTTTAGTTTTGTCAGTTAGAAAATTAGAAAACAAAAATAAGTGAGATTAGCAATTGGGACAAAGTTTGATTAGGATAATAGAGTATAGGGACCTCAAAATACGTGAATTAAAAAAAGAAACAATAGATGTCATGTCTCGTGTCACATAATTATTAAAAAAATAAATAAATAAAAGAAAAAAGAACAGGTACGACTCCAAACCAAATCACTAATAATTAGTGACAATAAAAGCTTTAAATAACAATAGAATAAAATTAAAAAAGAAAATGGAAAAGAAAAGAAAAGAAAAAGAATAATATATGAAAATGAAAGGGAAATTAAAAGGAAAGAAGGAGGGCGGTTCCTTGCACCCAACGCATCTCTCTTAGGTTCGGATTCGGGTTCGGACTCAGCTTCGGTGTAGACTTCGTGAGGATAAGAACGACCCATCTCTCTCTCTCTCTCTCTCTCTCTAACGCCATCCACCACTCTATACAAGAACCCATTCCCTCCCTCACCGCCTCCACTCTTGCTTCTATAAACCTAAAAACGCCTCTCTTTCTCTGTCTAAAAGCCTTGCCTTTTCACTCACAAGAACATATTTTCTCTCTCTACTTTCTCTCCTTTCTCTGTGTTATCTCATCTCAGCATTGAGCAAACCAGTGTTCATTTCTGTTCATTCAAGCTGGCGATCGAGAATCAAGACACCACGGTCAGAGAAATCAAGCCCAAGAGCAGGAGAATCATGGTAAAACCCCACACTTTTACTTCTCCTTTCTCTGATTTCTGCTTTTTGGTCTCACTCTCTCTCTCTCTGCATTCAGATTTTGGGTTCAATGCTCTGTTTTTCTGGGTTCAAATTTTCGGTTCAGATTGTTTTTTGTCACAGATTCTCGTGATATTCCTTGTGGGTTTTCGGTTCTGATTGAGTTTCTTTACAGGGTGCTGGAGGTCCTGACGAGGACGACAATAGGTGGCCGCCATGGCTGAAACCTCTGCTAAGAGAGAACTTCTTTGTTCAATGCAAGCTCCACGCTGACTCTCACAAGTCTGAATGCAACATGTACTGCTTGGATTGCATGAACGGCCCTCTCTGCTCTCTCTGCCTCTCTTACCACAAGGACCACCGTGCTATTCAGGTACCCAAATTTGCCACAGCTATTTGTGCTTTTTCCCCATCAAAATTGCCACAGATATTTGTGTGTCTCAATTATTCGGGAAACCCCAGTTCCCCAATCTGTGTCTAGTTTATTGTTAAATTTTGAATTTTTGTGACAAAATTGATGGATTTTTTTTGTGATAAATTTGTCCAGATAAGGAGGTCGTCTTACCATGATGTGATAAGGGTGAATGAGATTCAGAAGCATCTGGACATCAGTGGAGTCCAAACCTACATTATCAACAGTGCCCGAGTTGTGTTTCTGAACGAGAGGCCACAGCCTAGGCCTGGCAAAGGAGTCACAAATACCTGTGAAGTCTGTGAACGCAGCCTCCTCGATTCCTTCAGATTCTGCTCTCTTGGTTGCAAGGTAATTACATTGTTCTCCTTTCCCTTTCCATTTTCCATTGTTTGGTTGGTTGCTGAGAAAATGGAAGAAAATTTCAAACTTTTGTTTTGTCTCCAAGTTCCAACGAAAAATCAAACCAATGAGCTCAGACTAAATGTCATGCATTCATATGAGGTTGACTTTTCACTGCCTTGAATGCCGTAAATCTTTGAGTTTTAATGTGAATGTCACACTTTGAATTCCATTCCGTTTTATTTTACTTTCCCTTCCATTTTCTCACCAACCAAACACCCCCCCAACCAAAAAGTAAGCATTTGTGTAAATGTTGGTCATTGGTTCCGGTCAACCCCCCATTAAAAAAAAAAAATCATTGATCGAATCCAATAATTCAAAACTTTGGGGTAAATACCATACTAATTAATCTCAATCCATTGCATTTGCAAAGCAGATTGTGGGGACATCATCCGGTCATCCCCAGAAGAAGAAGTACTCGAAGGCAATGGGGGGTTCCGATTCAGATGAGTCATACAGCAGCAGCAGCCACGGAATTGCAAGGTTCAAGAGCAGCAGCCACAACAAAGTCCAGAGCTTCACACCGTCAACGCCGCCCCCAAGTTCCACTAATTACAGAACGGCCAAGAGACGGAAGGGCATTCCCCACAGAGCCCCAATGGGAGGACTAATCATCGAATATTAAGTCAAGCCCTTGCACTTTTAGTATATTACATAAATGCCTCACTTGTACAGTAAGTCTATCACAAATGCCCCTCCAATCGCTTGAGCTTTTTTTCTCAAAAAAGGCCATGTTTTGGAGAAAATTAGAAAAACGCCCACTTAGCTTTCTGGTATTGTACATAGAAGCCGTATAGGAACAAGTGCAAGTGTTGGAAAAGTTAGAGAATAAGACAGTAACAAAAGTGGACGACCGAGAAAAAACTGTGGACGGTGGAGGAGTCAGAACAAGAAGAAAAATAACGTCTTTTTACTGTTTCGCAGTTTTACCGGTCTCCCCACCCTGGATAAATGTAGGATGGTTCTGGAAATATGAAATATACGTAAGTTTTGGGGGTGAAGATGTAAATAGAGCGTTTTGGTTGGGGAAAAGTCAATCTACTCCTTTGGGAGTGGGTAGTGGAATATGCATATATGTGGAAAGTGAAATAATAGATTTTTATATTTTGTATTTTTATTCTGAGCCATTAAGTCTGCCTTTACAAGTTTTTGACCAGGCGATCAAATAAAAAATAAAAAAGATAACTTATGCGGGGCCCACGCCGGCCGTCTCGTGTGGGGTGCGTTCGTGACGCGGCTTTTCTGTCACTGCGGCACACGTGTTGGGATATTATTTGGTGAGGGAAAGGGCGGCAAAGGAGGTCTTGATCCTCGGAATCATAAAGAGGTCGCAGCCGCCCTCCGTTTTAATATATTTTTATTGGGTCAGAAATTCGGAAAGGCGGTTCCTTTAGCAAAATGTGTTACGTTTCTTCTGGGGTCCCACCGGTGTGGAGAATCCTGGCCGTTGATTTGAGCGTGCTCTGTGATGCTGGGCTTTGATCTGGTCCACTTATGGCAATCTTGGTGGGACACGTGACAACGACTCAAATGGTTTATAGTTCGTGTGAATTATTGGGATTAGATCCCCTTAGTATCTCACGAACTAGCAATAATATGGTTTAAATTTACCGTTGGTGATAATCGAACGAAAAAATCTCGTACTTACAAGTGAATAAGAATATCATTAAATGGTATACTAATTGTTCAGATATCTCTCTTGAAATGTCTGATCGTTCGGTTTTAAAAGGGTAAATTTATAAAATGCCCCATCTTGAACTACAAACTCTAAATCATTAGTCATTGTGGGTTGGAGGAGGGAGGGGCGTAAATGTACCCTTCAGTGAGTTGTATAACCTTTTACTGAAGTAGGCAACATTGCATACTTGGCGAGTTCATAACATTAGCAAGACTCAATTGCCTATGCTAAGGGCCAAGATGTTGCTTATGCGACCCATAAAATAATGCCTTTTACTCAGTTACCTAGTTATTTGAGGTGATTGAAGATGGCACGGATATGTGTGATTACTTTATTAGTAATAGTAGAATGATTTTTTTTATCTATTTGAAGTACATGACATGCCTGAAAATAATTAGATATATTTTAATGTACGTCACTGACATTTATAATACATGGTATATGGATTTTGTTTGAGCACATAGAAAAGTCTCTTGTAATAGTACTGTTGGGCTCAGTGGATTGTTGTGAGCGATAAATTTTTAGTGTTATGAGTAACATAGTTCGATACATCAAGTATTATAATAAAATTGAATTTTTTTTAAGTTTCTAATTAATTATATTATTATACTTGATGGACCTATAATTAAAATATCAAATTGTATTCGTGACACACTAAAGAATGTCTCGATGTAAGATTGGTGTTTGCGTGTGGCATTCGAAGGCGTATCATCACATAATGAGCTTACAGACATTATTAACCAGATTTTATTTGGTAATTAATACTAACCACATATTAAATCATAATTTTCGATTGCCTAACTTTTTTGTTGTTCAATTATGACCAAGGTCCAAAAAGAAACTTATGAATTTTCAATAGCTCTGCACGAACCCAAAAGAGCTTAAAACAAGCTAGGAAAGCTGAGCACAAAACAAAGTTGAAGACACCATTTATCGTAGCTATACACTCATTTCACACAAGTTGCTTTCGTGAGAAAGATGATGAGCAGGACGGGCGGCGACAGGTGGTGGTGTTCATTTGCATTGTTAACCAAGTGTCCTAAAGAAAACGACTTGTATTATATGTTTATATTATAGAGAATTTTAACGAAAGGATTCCGATACTGTTTACTTTAACGGAAAATCATATTTTTACATTAAAAAGTCAATCATGGTACTATTTACTTTACTCTTTATTTTACCTTTATTTTTAAAACTCAAAATTTTCAAATCATTTTTATTAGTTTTCCTTATATTATATTATTAGTACAAGACGTTTTATTATGTGTCTTTGTATTATTGCTACAATACATTATATGTCGTAGCGATACACACATTTCGTACAAGTTGCTTTCGTGTGAAGGCTGCTGAGGCGGACAGAGGTGACTGGTGGTGTTCGTTCATTTGTATTGTTTACCGGCTTTTCCGGTACGATATTTCATTGTAAGAAGGGGTAAAAGCACTCAGGCTCAGCAGCAGGCACCAGGATCCTCTCCTAATTTAAGGAAGAGGATACTCATGATTAAGAGATATAGATCGTTGGATTTTTATCTAACGGCTATAAACAGGGGATCCTTTTAAAGTTATAATAATTATAACCGTTAAATTTTTATCCAACTGTCCACATCTCTTGATCATGAGGATCCTCATTCTTAGATTAGGAGAGGATCCTGGTCCCAGCAGCAGTGAGTCGTGACACGCTGCTATGTTCGTGTACTGTGGAAGTGCAGCCACGTGTCAGTGAAAGTTCCCAGCAACTTGCATATATTTATATTTGCCTGTGAAAGTTCCCAGCAACAAGAGGCCTGGCTTTCCAATATTAATATTTGCTGTGAACCGTTCAATACGCTGCTTATCTCCTACACACACATACATGTCTAATTTCTTGTTCGTTCCAATCCAACTTTCTCTTTCTCAAAGTCTCTCAGGGTCAGTAGTCGTCGTACGTACGTAGAACCAGAACATTATTGTACAATACAAAAGCCTAACTTGCCTGTGAAGATTGCTGGTAGTGGGTCCCAGTCTTCTTCAAACCCCTAGCTAGGGTTGAGGGTTCCAAATCACGTCAGAAAATACAGCAAAAATAAAACACAAAACTAGTTCGCCTGAAGAAGGAGAAGGGTACAATTCGGTGTTGTCTGTTATCAGGGAAGGGAGTAGGATTCTCTTCCTTTTTAATCTCTTTTTTCTTCTATCCCCTCCTATTTAAACGGTTGTAATTACGCCACATCTACATCTTGTTTTAAATTTTTTATATAGAGAATAAGACAACAAGAAGAGTATGAGAGGAGAGGATGAAAATGGATGGTAATAGGAAGAGAGAGAATCCTACTCCTTATCAGGACGTTGGGAATGTGTAAAAGGAAATTTTATCTTCTTATATTACACATGGTATAAATTTTCTAGTAAAAAATTTTAACTGAAAAAAATCATCATCATTTGATTTTTTTTTTTTTTTGAAAGATCATCATTTGATTTTATTCATAGAGACTTGAGTAGACTGATAACAATCTCAGACTTTCTCCACTTTTATTTGGCAATAAAAAACAAAAGTGTCAATTACTTTATTCTACAAATATAAACATATTTTTGTATTTATCTTTTAGTCGTGCTCTATTTTTTTAGGGATGAATCTAAATCATGCTTCATGGTAATTAGACATTATTCAATTCGTAAAAGTGAGATGATGATTTCATTAAGTTTGAATATTGTTGAACTTTGTATGAATATATTGTCCAAAAATTTATTATGTTTTTAAGTAAGGAGGATTTTTTTTTCTTTAAAAAAAAAATTGTACAGGTCCTTCAAAAATATCAGAGACTTGTCTTAAATGGTTTGCTAAGAAAAACCGGGGAGGTTCAAACTTGAACAGCTAGCTGACTCAAGACACAATAAATTAAATTTACATAAATGATATATACATGTCTGTGCTGGTCTGTGTCACTTCATGAACTTATTAATCTTTTGCAAATAGCCAACAATTGTAGAGAGGAATGCACGTGACATCTACCAAATTTTGAGTAGCATATATTTTGGGTACAGAAAACTTTTATCCAGTCAACTGTATGGTAGTTCAGAAAACCTAATCCCACCTGAGTACAACGCCTAAAAAATGTATTTAATTGTTGATCGAGGATAAAAAAACCAGTGGGGTGTATCTGTAAGTTACTGAATAAACATGAAAATGCTCAAGGGTCTTAGGCAAAAAATAAAACTGCCCTTAAATTTATGTGGTTTTGCCACTGCAATCTATTTTTATAGGAGCTGAGAAAATTTACAGAGACATTTTAGTCTTCTTTTGGTTATCATTGTACGATCAACCATCGGTATGAATTGAACACAAAATGTGCTGTGTGGAATACGCGACTGAAATTCATGCCAAATCACTGAGTTACCTCATGGTTGTTGGTTTGCTACAATTTGGCTGCTCGCTAATGTACGGGGGAGGATGACAATACTTTAACAAGGTTCTAGACTTCACAATAACAAAACAATTTGCTTTTCCTCACTAGAAAAGAACACTAAAATCACGTGTTGCTTTTCATCGAATAAAATTATAAAACACCAGACGTATTTATATTACATTTTTTTTTTTTTTTGTAGCACATGTATTTCCTTCAACCCGTCAGGGATCATCACCTATTTTATGACCCAAAATCCCACATTTTCTCTGCAGTATTTAAATGACAGTAGGAAGCTTCCTTGTTAATATACTCGTGAGTTCCCCACAAATGTTCATCTTTTCTTGATTTTTGCAATATCTAGTGGCACCTCAAAATAATAAAAACATCATGTCCTCGACTTAATCACCGGTAGCCAAGAGCTGTAGAGTTTTATCGTAAAAGCATCGGTGTAATTACAATTGAAACTATTGTATATAATTCGAAATTTATTTTGTTAAAACTCTAATGTGGGATTTTAAACAGAGAGGCCAACACTTATATACAACATGTTATATGGGTCTAAATCACTTTTTTTAATAAATTATCTACACTAAGGAATAGATGGTGGTTTATGTAAGATCCCACATCGCCCAGGGGAGTGATCCTTATATGTATATTCTCATCTCTACCTAGCACGAGACTTTTTGGGAGCTCACTGGTTTTGGATTCTATCGGAACTTCGAAGTTAAGCAAGTAGCACGCGAGAGCACTCCCATGATGGGTGATCCATTGGGAAGTTCTCGTGTGAGTTCTCAGAAACAAAAACCGTGAGGGTGTGCTGGGAGCCCAAAGCGGACAATATCGTGCTACGGTGGAGTCGGGCCCGGGATGTGGTCCCGCCCTTGCCGGGATGTGACAATTTGATATCAAAGCCTAACCCTGGCCGTGGTGTGCCGACGAGGACGTTGGGCCTCTAAAAGGGGTGGATTGTAAGATTCCACATCGCTCAGGGGAGTGATCCTTGTATGTATATTTCCATCTCTACCTAGCACGAGGCATTTTGGAAGCTCACTAGCT